ATTATACTCCAAGCCCGCTGTTATCTCAGATGTGGTCCACCAGTGTTTGCACTTCCTCTCACTTACTGTTAAAACAATTGCTTTTTTAATAATGGTTCTGCACTACCAATATGCATCAGGGACTGAAAAGGCAACAGCAGCTGTTGTTCTCATAAAGTAAAGGGATTTTTAAAACAGCAGTAGTAACGCACAGTATCTTTGTCTAAATAGCAGATCTGTTTTGAACGCTTGCAGGCTATGCAAGCTTGTTCAGCTCCTCTTCTGGAGAAATCAGCGTTCCAGATGTAGGTAGCTGAAATGAAGGTTTCCTTAGCCAGGCTCTGGGTTTGCTTCTCACTCGTCTAGTACCCTGCGCGCTAGGACAGCGCTTCTGGGGAAGCGTCGCACACAGCGGCTTCGCAGCAATAAGGCACTTTATGTCAACAATCTGGCAACGTTTCGGGTAGCATAGCTAGGATCTATCCCTCAGCTACCTTTCTGTAGGCCTGTGGTTGTGGCAGGTATTGTTGCTTTGTGACCGGTCTCTTGGAACTGACAGGGCAGCCTGAACATGGCATTTATATCGTCATCAGAGAGTCCTGAGATAAACGTGTAAAATGATACATACGCTCAGCCTAATCCGTAACACAGTGCCTTCTTCTCAAACTGTCCTGGGGATGGCATCTTTCTGTATGAAGTGGTCTTTTATATCTTTTATGAAGCAGTTTTGCTTGAAAAGACTCCCAGAGTTGGGACAACCAGACAAAAGCTGTATGAGCTTAAAACTGAAAAACAGGTGGTTTAAGACAGAATTATATTGTTCTCAATGTAAAAGTTGAGGAAATGAGATGCTGATCTTGCACTGCTTATAAACAATTAAAGGTGAAATTAACTCTTTCAAAAAGGTTCTAATTTTTTTTTTACTTGTATAGGAAACGTAACAAAAAATGTAGCACTAGAATCACATAATCATGCCTCAGAATGAAATGTTATTTCTGAGCGATGCCCATGTGTGCATTGTCCATATGAAGATGGAACAACCACTGGTCTCACAGACCAGTCCTGTACATAAAAGAAAAGAAAAGCCAGCTGAACACCAGAACCGTGCTTAGTCTTGGATGTATCTCCAGTTTCACTGGCGCCAGTGACTAAATCTTCATGTTTTTTGAAGCTATGGAATACTGGTTGGAAGTAGAGATATAAAAGTAGAAGAAACATTCTTAACAGTAACAGTCCAGGTACTTTTGGGTTTATTTGATTTCTCCTCCCTCTTAGTAGCCACTAAACTACTTCAGGGAGCAGCAGTACCATTTAGAGCAAATTTACTGGGCAGGATTCCTCTGCAGGGAACAGGAAGCCGCCTAAGGCTTGGTACCTATGAATTCTACCTTCACAGTGTTCTGCAAGGAGCTTATGCAGGGGAGGCTGTTGAGAGGAAGGAGCCACACAGAGCTCAGCGAAGGAGACCCTACAGCATGGCTACGGCTAGCCACAGCTATGCTTGCCTGGGATATTGCACAAATTCCCTCCAGTGCAGTAATGGAACCAGCATATATAGTTAGACGAAAGTAAAAATCTTTATTGCTAAGTCAGCTGAAAAGTTGATGCAAAAATATTCTTCCTTCCTGAACTGTTCTGTACATCTGAATAAAGAATCAATGGAATAGTGTTTTCTAGCAATCTTACACCATTTGCCTCTCCAAAGCCACACACACACACACAGGCTACAGTGCTGAAGGTGCATTCATTAAACATCCTACTCCCATATACAATGAAAAAAGGGGATTATAATAGCTTCATGCTAGAGTGGAATTCATAAAATAGTCTCCGTTTTAAAACAAAAAGCATGAAAAAAATTTTATAAACAATAGATGTGCTGCAATTTTTCTTTAACATGCTCTGGCTCGTGTGAGTCAAGTTAAAAAAGGTAATATTTAAAAATTAAAAAACAAACAAACAAAACCAACCACACTATGAGTCTTCAGACAGCAATAGAACATCAAATAATGATCGCACAAAACCAAAGGGGTGAACCTACTGCCTGAAGAAGGCCCTTTGGCAAGTGACACGAAAGCCATCACCAGCCAGGAAGAGTGCAAAAACTCCTGAAGTCCAAGGGCCTCAGGCGTGGCTATATGTCCTGTGTACTAAAAGGATTGCAGGCCGCAAAGCCACCTTTCCCCTAGAAAGGAAAATACTTGCTTCTTGGAAAATTTTACCCTCCCCTCCAGTTGAGGAGTCTGATCAAATTCCAGGAAGCTGTAGTGCTGCCTCTGCCTGGCCCGTCCCATGCACTGGGAGCAATCTGGAAGCTATTCCTCATCCTTAATACTCTGGAATCAACCACTCCTCGCTGAATATATCCTGTATTAATTCCTTTCGCTGAAGCCTTACTGGAAAGGACAGAGCAGACAGGTCATTGCCTTCTCAGAGTCCCCGTTCTTGGTGAGCGTGCTCATCAGCAGGGCCAGAATTACTGAAGAGATGAATAAACTCTAACCCACCAGCCAAACTTGACCGTGGCCCCTGGGACACGGCAGGCCTGGCACTGCTCTCAGCAGGGACAAGAGAGTGCCCGATGACCCCAAGCTAAGAACCTCTCTCCAACAGTAAGTCCATTTATCCTGATAATTAATGAATGGGACGTTCTCAGTGCTGCGGTTCTGTGGAGATGATGTATCTGTGCAACAACCACATACGAAATGCTGAGAAGAGATGGGAAAAGGACAGGAAAGAAAGTGGGATAACACTTTCTATCCCCTGCTGTGAGTCCCTCTCTAGACTTGCCCATTCGTACCTGTTCCACAGACAGTAGTGCTCCTAAGGAGCCTGAAATATAAGGTGGTGTTAATAGGGTGAGGAAGACAAGGTAGACACTTTTTGCCTCTAGGGAAACAAAAGAAGGCAGAGGGGAGCGCTCAGGCTGTGCTGCCCAGAATGGCACAAGCAGTTCATAACATCAGCCTAGAGAGACCAGAGGAAGCTGTGGATTCTACCTAGTGTTTGAGACAACAAGTCATGTTCTGCCAGTTCGCACCCACAGAAAAAAAAATAGCAGCTGGTTGTACTAAACTTCCTCTCTGCTTCAAAACCAGAAACCGCTTTAGAGAAAAGGCTAAGAGGGAATTCCTTGTACTCACTCCATTTTGCCAGTCCCATGAGGGGGGCAGCTCAGCCATCTCGCGTGCTCCAAAGCTGGAGCTTTTAATTTTGCTTACTCCTGTCCTTTCCCCACTGAGCCGAGTAGAGCCATTCATGACAAACTTCCTGCACTGCTACAGGTTCAGACTGGCACAGACCCACTGGATTTTCCACATCAGTGCAAGAAATACAGACCCGATTTACATTAACATGTGCCACTCTCCTAGTGCAAAATCTGCAACAGTCTTATGCAGAAAACAGGGTGCGTTTCTGCATCAGCTCCACACTGCACAGAGGCTGTTTTGCAGCCCTGTTGCCAGGTTTCAGAAACTGTTGGGTTGGGCACAGATTTTTGATAAAATTATCACCAGTGAAAGAATTAAAGCTAACTGTCAAACATGCTGGGATGAGCCTTTTCTGCATACTATATGAACAGAACCCAAAAGAATTGATTTTTAGTTTTTAAATATTTTTCTGCTGTTGATTCCTGAGGGATTCAAAATGCTGCTGTTCCTGCGGTTCTAAGAATAAGCTTTTCTCTCCGTTTCCAAATGAAATGGATGTTTAAAAACAAACGAATTCCAGTGGGTTTAAAACTTTGGAAAAACTTGGGTTGTTTTGTCTTATGATTACATGGTGACTAGCACAAGGTATATCCTAAAATACTGTTCTCTTATGCATGGTAAAAATACATTTTTTTTCCTAGTGAAAAGAAATTCAAGGAGCTCTGAAATCTGAACAAAACTCTATTAGTTTTTTGTCACAAAATCTGTGTTGTCAGAATCCAATAAGTTGTCTACACAGTATTTCCTTTTGAGCAAGGCCTGAGTTTCATCCAAAATATACAACTCCAATCCCTCAGAACTCTTGAGAAAAAACTTTCAGGTTTTTCTTCATAAATATAATTCATAAAGAAGAAAAGGCACTAGCCCATGTTACAGTCAGAGTTATTACACCACTGACGTGACTGGGGTAGCTGCTGTCCAGCTCTCTGCCAGCTAAGGAAGACGTCTGCACACTACAGGCGGTGGTCTCTTCACAACCCTTTCTGAAGGCGATGACATAGGCAGCCAATTGATGCCCTGTGTCAAAAACCTTAAAGGAACCACAGTGCATCTGCTGAGTGGACACTGGCCAGTTCACCACTGGTAGAACTGTTTTAAGCATCTCCTTCCCAGTGCTGATAAAGATGTTCTTAAGGTGAAAAAAATACGTTTTTCCTTTTGCATTGAAAACTAAGCAGAAACAAGCACGCTTTCAGCTTGTTTGCTGCCAGTTTGGGCATGTACCATTAAATGCTGGTGGTGGCTGTGGATTTGCAAAATGACTCCTGCTTTCAGAGGCAAGCAAAGATGCTGTGGTTGCAGAGGTTTGTGTTGATGGAACAGATCAATGTATGCTTCTCCAGCATATGAGGGGCAGCCCAACTGCTCACTAACCTTAGACCAGCACACCACTGCTCACATCTGTGTTTCCTGTAGATTGAGTACCTCACCAAAACAAGCAGGAGCCCTTGGTTTCATCCTATATCTTTTGGATATAGGAATCCTCTACCGTGACGCATCCATGATGGAGATGGCCAAGCTGCTGGGATGGGTCTGTGCCCTGCAGCTGTAAGCACTACCTCTACACAATACATCAATCAACAAGCCCACCATTGATCTCTCCTGTGCTCCATGTAAAACATCAGCAGGCATCCACTTATGACCCAGCTGTGTACTTCCTCATCCTGCTTAGGCTGACCCCATCAAACCCCTTACTCTTCCCTGCACCAGCGCTTATCAGTAGGGTACTGGTACCCCGAGTCCTCCAGTGCCCTAACAATACCCATTGGGAAAAAATACATTTTTTTTCCTAGTGAAAAGAAATTCAAGGAGCTCTGAAATCTGAACAAAACTCTATTAGTTTTTTGTCACAAAATCTGTGTTGTCAGAATCCAATAAGTTGTCTACACAGTATTTCCTTTTGAGCAAGGCCTGAGTTTCATCCAAAATATACAACTCCAATCCCTCAGAACTCTTGAGAAAAAACTTTCAGGTTTTTCTTCATAAATATAATTCATAAAGAAGAAAAGGCACTAGCCCATGTTACAGTCAGAGTTATTACACCACTGACGTGACTGGGGTAGCTGCTGTCCAGCTCTCTGCCAGCTAAGGAAGACGTCTGCACACTACAGGCGGTGGTCTCTTCACAACCCTTTCTGAAGGCGATGACATAGGCAGCCAATTGATGCCCTGTGTCAAAAACCTTAAAGGAACCACAGTGCATCTGCTGAGTGGACACTGGCCAGTTCACCACTGGTAGAACTGTTTTAAGCATCTCCTTCCCAGTGCTGATAAAGATGTTCTTAAGGTGAAAAAAATACGTTTTTCCTTTTGCATTGAAAACTAAGCAGAAACAAGCACGCTTTCAGCTTGTTTGCTGCCAGTTTGGGCATGTACCATTAAATGCTGGTGGTGGCTGTGGATTTGCAAAATGACTCCTGCTTTCAGAGGCAAGCAAAGATGCTGTGGTTGCAGAGGTTTGTGTTGATGGAACAGATCAATGTATGCTTCTCCAGCATATGAGGGGCAGCCCAACTGCTCACTAACCTTAGACCAGCACACCACTGCTCACATCTGTGTTTCCTGTAGATTGAGTACCTCACCAAAACAAGCAGGAGCCCTTGGTTTCATCCTATATCTTTTGGATATAGGAATCCTCTACCGTGACGCATCCATGATGGAGATGGCCAAGCTGCTGGGATGGGTCTGTGCCCTGCAGCTGTAAGCACTACCTCTACACAATACATCAATCAACAAGCCCACCATTGATCTCTCCTGTGCTCCATGTAAAACATCAGCAGGCATCCACTTATGACCCAGCTGTGTACTTCCTCATCCTGCTTAGGCTGACCCCATCAAACCCCTTACTCTTCCCTGCACCAGCGCTTATCAGTAGGGTACTGGTACCCCGAGTCCTCCAGTGCCCTAACAATACCCATTGGGAAAAACCCCTCGCACATCAGCTGTGGACAGTGGCACTGGAGCGCTCTCTCCCCTGACCCTAAGTAATAAAGTGCTGGGCTGATGGGGAGGAGAATAGCCTGAGTGCAATCAATGAAAGTGCTTGCAATGCATGTAGGAAACCATTCTTGGTCAGCTTCATTGCAACTGGCTGTATTCTTTCAAGGAAAAACAAAGTCAGGTGCTGTCAGGGGGCTGGGTCAGAAACATTCACGTGACTCTGAACACTGCATATGCCCCTTAGCAGCCTCCTCACCCCACACAGATGCCAGCCCCTCACCTGCAGAGCTGGCAGAACCTCTGGGGGAAGGAGTTATTGGCAGGTGTTGGGCCACCTGCTTTCTTCCACTTGCACAATTCCCAGGCAGTCCCTAACAGAGCTCAGCTGCTAGTCTGAGTGCTCACAGAACAGCTGAGGCTCTACAGTGAAAAGCGGACAGCCCAGACCTTAGCACTCCCAAATCTTCCTCTACTCCACTGAGGAAGCAGCAGATGCCTGTGCTCCTTACAGATCCCAGCTCCCCTTGGAGGGCAAGACAACCCTTATGGGACAGGGCTTCCTGGGACAGACAAAGTGGGAGCAGTACTTATAGGGTTACAAAGCTGTATCAAACTCCTCTGGCAGAGCCACTGCAGGGTCCTCTTTCTGCCTTTGATCTGTTCCATTTTCCTGGTGCTGCTTCATTTGTTCCTTCACTTCCTCCTCCAGATCAGGTGGCACCACAAACTGATCCTCTGGCTCCATCTGGGACGGAGCAGCAAAATAGCCTGTTTTCTTCTTGGGTGCCTCTGTGGCTACTTCGATGAGGTTGAGGCTCTCCTCCAAGGGCACTATGGAGCCATTGGAAAGCTTCTTTCCATAGAGGCAGCATGTGGAAGATGATTTCTGTAGTTCACACTTTTCCTTGACTCCTGCCTGCACAGTGTTGCTGTTTACACTGTTCTGTCTCTGAATCATGAGGACAAGCCCATCAGAGTCATCCTCTGGCACTGCAGCAGAGGAGCTGTACTCTGCAGCAGGAGGTTCAAACTCCAGCCCCTTTCCTTTACAACAGTGGATGTCCACCTCCACCTCCACTTTACTGCCATTCGTCATGACACCTTCCACAGGCTGCTCATCATCGCTATCCAGCCCATTGTCAGACTGGTTACTAGAGAAGGTGGCACAGGAAGGTTGGCGCTGAAAGATGCCTGAGGGGGGTACAGGATGTAGGCTGCAACGTCGCTCTTGTCGTGGCAGTAAGCTGCCCTCAAGGCCAGCACCGTTGTGTTCATCTGAAGCAGTAGAGCCCACCTCACTGCTAACCTCAGAAGCAGACAGCTCACTGTTGAACTCTGAAGCAATTCCACTGCTAGAGGAAGGTGTCGCTAGTTTGGTGGTGGTTGAACTAAAACCCCCAGGGCCTGGCAGGGTGAGTCCATGCATCTCGCAAGTGCAGTTGTCCTCACTAATGTTCAGGCACACCACCATTGCACCTACGTTGTCTTGGCAACCATAGCTTTGGGCTAAAGTGCAGAGTTTCTTTGCAGCAGCTAGCGGGTCGTGTAGATGGCGCACAGCTGAGATAGCCTCTGTGTAAGAAAGGTATTCCCAGAGAGCTTTGTTCCCCAGAAGTAGCAGCTCATCTTGTACAGTCAGTGGAATGGAACTGATATGAGGCTTGGGCAGGATCCAGGGATGCAAGTACGTGCAGCCCAGCATCCGAGTACAGCAAGTCACACCATTAACCTTGTTGTCCTGCAGACAAAGAGAAACAGAGCAGTAGCATTAGGCCTACCAACAGATCATTCTGAGAGCAGTCTTTCCTCTGCCCACATACTGGTTTAAAGCCCTTGAGACACGCCAGTGCAACACAGACACAGCTAAGTCAGCTACAGTCTAGGAACAAGGGATCAGGGTCCAGGTACCACAGCACAGACCTTCACAGTACCTATCATGCCCCATGCTGGCAGTAGCAAAGCGTTATCCGACAAGTGTTTTTGCTGCGTTCTGAACGGGGCGTGTTGCAGTGAATCTTTCGAAACGTGCAGCTGAACTACCTGCAGCACATTGGCCAGAGAATCTCACTTAAGGCTCTTGCACGAAACTAATTTTTTTCTGAATGAGTGAGATTATGGCTTTCTACTTTCTCCTTGCAAGGCAAGCATTACATAATTTCTGTTCATTTTCTGAACTATTTCCAACTTTGTTAACATGCATTCTGAAGCGTGGACATTACATCCTGAGGAAGGAAACAGCAAGCAGTGATCGCACTACTGCTGTAACCTGGAGGTCTTTTCTGTTCCCACCGGATAGTCCTCTGGCTCACTAGTACAAGGCCAGCCTTCAGTCTCCTGGATACAAAATTACCAAGAGAGCCCTCGGTCTCTTTTCCAGGTCAGCGCAAACAGATTATACAGTTTCCCCAGTGTTTTTTGCTGTTGTTTAACTTCTTGCATATTAAGTAGCATATTGTTCACATGAGCCCATGTTCTCAAATAATCCAGAATAAAGCACAGAACTGACTCGTCCAAATCATTATTTACAACTCCATCAATTTCTGTACCCGCTACATGTTGTTAAGTGTTGCTGATAACGATTATTATAAAGAAGCAGCAGAGACGTCTCCTTAGACAATGATTTCATTTGCAAGGTATTTTTCAGAATCCACTGGTCATCCACTTTTTAAATCACTTAGTGTGCTACATTGATTCCACGATTATTTTTGGTCAGAACGCTGTGGAATACAGTGCCTCACAGAGCTATAACACACTAAGAGATTATCCCCGTCAGAAAAAAGCTTTTGATCTCACTTTTACCAAACAAACCTGATGCTTTTTAAGAGACCACTGTACATAAAACTAATAGGACCGGCACTGATTTCTCAGTGATCCATTCTGGATCAACACCGACATCAACCATATGAGCACCAACTAAGGGCTCTACAAATTTCCATCCCATCTTCTCTTTGGCATATACCAGCTATTTTCCAGTTCTTTGGAACTTCTCTGCCATTTCCAAATTAAAAGAATTAACCCTGAGCGATTTCTCCAGAAATTATTCTAATACTTTTAGTTTTCTAATACTAAATATTTCTGTCTTTTCTACATTAACATTTCCACATGTAGTATACTCGATATCCATGTTCTGCATGTCCCAAGAGCCACTAATCCTCCATCTCTGCTGAGTGAAACATGGAAGAACTCCAAGGAGACATACTTGAGACAGGCTTTCCAAGAGGCACCAAAGATGGACTAGATATTTCATAGGTTTTGAGACAAGATGATGTTTCAGGCCCTGCCCTGCTGCTTGGAGCGGCTCTTCACACTCACCCAAGTCCTGCTCTGTATCAGGTACTTCCCCTCCCTTCAGCTTCATACCTATTTTCTTTCTTTCCCCTTCCTCCCTAAACCATCCTGTGTGTCCCGTTTCTATCATTCGCAGGCCCTGGTGGGTGTTTTGGGAACAAGTCATACTGAATAGGTAATTAGCAAGAGAAGCACAGTGAGAAGCAACAGACAAGTCATCCCAACATCTTCATGCCATCCTTGCCCCTACTGTATTGTGCAGCCAGCAGAGCTCAGCATGGCATGTATTTGAATCAAGCCTTTCCTGGAGGGCAGAAGGTGAAGTGAAGAAGGTCCAAACCAACCTCTGTTATAATGGCTTTTTGCTCCTTGACTCTCTTGGCTTCTTCCGAACATCGTTCAAGACTGAAGACCTTGGAGAGGAGCAGTGGTTTTCCACTTCGGCACAGAACGGCTTGGCACGTCCCCACGTTGGCCACCGTCAGAGAAAAGTTGCTGGCTGGGTCAGCCACATCATGACGAATGTAGCAAAGGACAGCAGAGGAGCCCAGCTTCTGCCCAGCCATGCCCAGCTTCCTGTTGGAGGAGAAGGTGTAGGAAGGCTCCATACTCCAACGACAGGCATTCTGGAGGGCTGCCTTACCCCACAAAGCACATTAAGTGATGCGCCTATGAGGGTCCCACTGGGACCAGCTCGTTCACTGTCCTACCTGTGGGAGACCAAGAAGGTGTTGCACATGAACATCGTGTCTGACTGCTGCACCTCCTCCAGGAGCACATCGGCCATAGTGCATTGCAGCAGGCGTGGCAACTCCTCATTCTTATCACCATCAAACATGCCATACACAGCCTCTACCCCCTCTGCAAAGCTCCCCAGGGCCAGGGATGACACACACAGCCTGTCAGAAAAGCATATAGGTAAAGTCAATCTATCTCAAAGGATTACACGGTCCCCATCACCACAGGCATCAGGAACTTTGCCATGAGTGCTGTTCTCACAGGGCAACAAAGCCACTGTCCCTTTGCCCACTGCTCCATAAGATATATAGCTTCCAGTTACTACTGGAACTCCTGGACTCTCCTTGTCCACACTGGGGAGAGGACAACGGGCACAGCCAGCAAGTGAGAGCAGAAGCATCTTGCTAGGGTGGGAAGCAAAGCCCAAGCATCCCAGGATAAGCATGAGAAGTGAGGGAGAAGGCAAAAAGGAGACTTGAGTTACGAGGACTGATCAAGAGATCCAGGGAGACAGAGGGATGGACGAGCTACCTAGTAAAGCAAGTCTGCTCGGGCGCTAGCAGCGCGTCCAGCCTAGCACTCTGAGGACACAGTGTCAGGGTCCCGCAGATCACAATACTCACTTATTTCTTTGGCCTGCCATCTCAGCTACCCCATGACTCCAGAAGGTAGAAGCGAGTGCTGAGTCTGCTGTGAGGGAGGGCTTAGCATCAATCTTCAGTGCGGTAATGTGACTACGGAGAGAGAAGAAAAGTCATTTTTTTCGTAGACCCCACTGAACAGCTTGTGGCCAAAAGACCACGTCCAGTCTAGAGTTTTAGACAGAAGCCTGTGGAAAAAACTGCACCAAGGAAAGGAGATTAAGGATTTGGCCTTTAGAGACATCTAGTGGCTTATGCCAGAGACAGCTGGGAGAAACTCATACCACCTAAGAAATTTTCTGCTTGCTCTGCTGTTACAGACCCAGCCTTGGTCATCGCCACAGGACAGAAAGCTTCAGCTGCCTCAGGCGAGGAACATTATGACGTTTTGCAGTGCTGCAGTACACACATTGGTATCCCGTTTCCCTCCCGGGAAAGGGTTAACCTTCCCTGTGCCTGTCACTACTGACCTGGCATCTCCATGGCTTACCTGAAGATGTCCAGTGTCTTGTGTTCTAGCACCAGGTTTGTGTTTCCGGTCAGGTCCAACTCCTGCAAGGTACCTGGCAGTGCCTCAGGGATCAGGATTTCAGTTAATTCATTGCAGCTCAAGTCTACGAACTGCAGTATCAGAAAAGCACAACGAAAAAGGAACTATTTTCTGTTCTCTCATAGGATCAGTTACTCTAGTGTTCCTTCCTAACATCACGTGCTCCTTACCTCTATAGACTACTCTGTGACCCCTGCCCCCGTGACCCTGTTATCCTGGCCTCACTGGAGGCTCCATTGCTACTTTTCTTACCCACCACTCACCACATCCCACAAAGAGGCCATGAAAAAGGGGCTGACCTATCAGTAGAAGAGTGGCTTATAAGCAGCAAATACTTATAACCCACAATAGCCAGGACCCCAATATTGAAAGAATAGGTCTCACTAAAGATAATACAAGGCCTACATATACATTTACCTAGCTATGTAACACTTCCTACCGCCTCAAATGATACATCAGAAATATACCAAGTCAGAGACAGATGATGAATAAGAGATGAACCATCCTTGTTCAGCTAAGTGAAGCGACAGATCTAGAACACACATTCTGTACTCTCAGACTGATCAAGCAAAACACTGGAATCTCTAGTTCCTCTCCTACCAGTTACTTTCCATTCTCCCACCCAAACCTGACATCTCTTTACTCTCTCCATAAGAATACCTGAATATGGGGCAAATGCAGGATCTCTGGAAAGATGCTGATTTCATTAGAGTGTGCAATAAGCGTATGAAGTAGCTTGCAGTTTGCCACTGTTGTGGGAATTGTTTTCAGTTTGTTGCCGCTGAGATTCAGCTCTTCCAAGTGCTCCAGCTTACTCAGTTTGCTGAAAGAAAAGCATACCACGCCTTATAGACCAGAACTTGTCACCTTCTGAATCTGCAGATACAGTATTCACAGACACTGTCCTTTACCAGCTACATTTCTAATTGTCGACAGAAGACAGCAAGTCCAAAGAGATGCTGTAATAAGATCTGGGGGTCCCCAGATGCCTGACTTGGCAACAGTCAGATCCCTTTGCCCCTGACTCCTACAGCACTAAAACAGAGCGTTGTGATAGCTGAATTTGAAAACCTGCATGACATCACTTTCAAAGGAACTGCCAAAAGGGCTCTTCAGCCTATTAATGAAACCATTTAAGAAATCATGAGAACTAGAAAAATCTCAGATGACTGGAAAAAACTAAGCAGTGTAAGTGTACTTTGTAGGAACAAACAGACTTATCTAGAAGTGGTTGTTTAGCCTGACACCAGTTCCAGGCAGAATCATGGCAAGGCTGGCAGAGATGCAATCAATACCAAATTAATTGTGCTGACATAATTAACAACAAAAAAAATTACTTATACTTTTGTGTTAATGTAACAGAAATTGTTTTTTATGAGACTACAAATTTAGCTGACACAGAAGTCTACCAGTATAGCACCAGCTCTGTAGTATATTCTGAAGAAACAAATACATTCAATACACCAAAGCTGGATTGTGGAGGACACTGGGAAAAAAATAATGAATTAAGAATCATCATTCAGTGAAAATCCTTCTAGCAGGGTCTCTGCAACAACATATATCTGATTCACTGACAATCAGTAGATCAATGATTAATAATAAAAACATACACATTCACAAAACAATATAGAGTAAAAATTGCAGATAAAAAAATCTGTTGGAATCACGGTTTCAACATACAGTAATATGAACTATTCGGTAACCTTAATGGCATGTGATTTACGTTAGGTAAGTAATGTTATGCACATAGGAACTTCTACCAGTCACAATTAGAGAGAAAACAATCCTCAGAGTCATGGCTCCAAAAAAGGCTTATGAGTCAGAGGAACCAGTACTCAGGACAAATCAGTATATAATAAAATGTCACCAGAAGGGGACTCAGGTAGGTGCTGGGAGCCCAAATTACCTCTGCTTTTGATTTTCAGTAGAGCTGTGTTCAGTTTTGCTGTCCAAATACCCAGAAAAAACACTGAAAATTGGAAAGGGTTCAGAGATGAGCTACAAGAATGATGTAAGGCCTAGAAAGCTTCCCCACCCCCTGAGAAACTAAAGAGGCTGAGTCTATTTATCATATTGAATAGAAAGCTAAAGGTTTCTTAAGCTACGCTTGGAAATTATCTGATACTACATGGCTCTCATATTAGAACGACAGTGTGATATACCGGTTGATGGAGGAAGCTAAATGTTTCTCACCAAAAATAAGATGCAGACTTACAAAACTGAGAGCAACAGAAACAACTTACTAGGAATACATGGGAGTCCCTAGCCTCTTAGGTTTGTATATTAAGCATGGCTTTCTCTTTATTTCAACTCCAACTGTGAGCCTAGTATATCAATTAATGGATGAAAGTATATGAGCTCTGTTGGGCACAGGTTCACACAAGCCTGGATGATGGCCTTCTGGCCTTTCAGTGCAAGACCGTGAAAAGTGAATAACTACAGCTCAGCAAGCTGCATGCCAGTAATTTTGAAAGTGTCAGAAGTACTGCCCCCATCCCCCCACCATACACATTCACCACAACTCCTCGAAGGACAGGAACCACTGCAGCCAGCACTACCCTGAATCAGTCACTCCTAGCAACGTGCCTCTGGGAATGGCAGGTTTTTTGTCATCAAGCTGCAGGGATGGCATCTTGGTTTGACACTGATCCAGGCACAATTAAAGTAAGGCAGCCAACATCCTGCTAGTAAGCACTGTCTCCTCCACCAGCCTTATGTATTTACCTTGCAGGGAAGGTCTGTAGATGGTTGTTCGCCAGATGAAGGATCCGTAGGTTCAGGTGTCCCACCAAGACAGGGATGCATTGATCTGTGAGGTTATTATTGGTCAAGTAAAGCAGCTGCAGCACGCTCAGACTCTCCTCCCCTGTACATGCAGAGGGCAAGGACTCCAGGCTGTTTGCAGATGCATTCAGGTACCTGAGGCTAACCATAGCAAGCGCAAAAACCATCAGACTTCACATCATCTAAATCACTCCAAGTAACAGTAGGAAGAAGAGCTATACAAATGCCTAGTGTGACAAGAGCAACAGCATTAGGCAGGAGGTCAGGTAACACAGTGTAACAACCCTACTTGCATTAAGTTTTATGGGTCTACAAATGGCTTATTAGCTACTCAGCACTACAGATGCGCACAGCATTTTACAATAAACTGAGTACTGAAGAGCTCACAAGCTGAGCCTGTGAGGGGATGGGTAGTACTGCTGGAAGCAGACTACGTAAGCTCTTACAGTCTCTTAGGAAGTGATGAATCATGTCTGAATAGACAAACGTTTATGAGGGGTTGTTTGTTCAGTCTTTCTTGCTGTTCTCCTAGGACCTGATGTACTTTCCACTTAACATCCGAGAATCTGTATGACTTCTCTTTTGCACCTGAATTTGTGCACTGGTTTTAAAGATAAAGCTCTCCAGGAAGTAACATGGTATTAGAAGCAGCTGCAACTGAAGCTAATTCCCTGTTTGGTTGGTGGGTTAGGCCAGTCTGTTTCCCATTATTAATTAGTAACATGGACTGATTCCTCAAATCAGTTTGATGACGTCTCTCATAGCACCTGAACTACCTCCTCATAAAGTGCATGTCTCATTATCTCTTAGGCAACTAGCAATAAAGCCTACAGCACACCAAAGGATGGTCACGCAGATGCCACTATCAACCTTCACAGCTCCAAAGGTAAGGCAGACAGAAGACAACATGCTACTGTCACTCACTTCAGAGCCTTGAGAAAGAGTGTCTCAGGGAGTTTAGTCATCAGATTGTGCTGAAGGTCCAGCACCTCCAGTGGAATGTGTTCTAGCAGAGGTGGAAGGGTCTGCAGATGATTGTGCCCCACCATCAACTTCCGAAGGCTCAGGCTGCTGAGGATCCTAGAAAGATGTAGGTTTTACTACACCAACTTGGTTCACTCCTCCTCACATCCCCAGAACGGGAGAAGGGGATATTTAACCAGTTCTAATTGTACTGTACTGCTAAAGAAAATTAAAATACAGTGATCCGTAAAACGCAGCAAAGCAGAAAAGCTCATGTGGTAACAATGCTTCCCCTGTGCCAACTTAGATTCAGAGCTTGAACAGCCTGCTCAGCCCTCCGGTATTATTTCTGAGGCTGTTGTCACAGTCTCCAGAATTACACTCTTTATTGAAATAAAAGGCCTCTATCCCCACTAACTGCAAAGAGAATGTCAGGAGTTTTGAGAAAGGATGCCTGAGCACACCTGGGCATAGCCTGGAACCACCCTGCCCATTTGGGTGAGGTGATAATTTGGAACTGTATCCTGATAGCCCTGTACAGGAGAGCTTTGGACCCAGAAATGCTGGAGCCACATTAGGGCACTGCTCCACACAGGCCAATTACTTCTGTTTCTTTCTGTATGCTGTGGCTTCTTAACATAAGCTAATTACATTGGGCCAAGCGCCATGCAAATGCAGATACACCAGTTTCCATATTCAAGTTAACTAACCCAGAGCTGGCTTGGGTATCTCCTCTCAACACTGTCTTGCATCATTCTGATACAATTTTGTTTTCAGATACAAGGGTAAAAGGCAACTTCATGGTGATCCATAAGCCTGTATGCAAGGCTTCTTATGGTTTAGTCAGCTAGATTAACCTGATCAATGTCTGAAAATCAAAGGTAGAGGCGTTCAAACTGGAAGACAGACATACACCTACAGTGTTGAGGACAAAAACATACTGGAGGAGCTTCCAATGGATATGGTCAATTCCAGCACTTAAGTCAAGGTTTTTTAAAGGTTCCTTCTTTTCACAATATACATTTGTGTGTCCGGATTCTGCAGATTCTTTTTGCATACCATACTTAAAACGTGCCTTTTTTCATCCCAGTGACAGGATGGCACAATAAGGGGCACAAACTGAAACACAGGAAGTTCCATGTGAACATAAGGAAAAACTTTTACTGCGAGGGTGACAGAGCACTGGAGCAGGTTGCCCACAGAGGTTAAGTCTCCATCCCTGGAGACATTCAAAACCCGCCTGGACAGGGTCCTGGGCAATGTGCTCTAGAGGAAGGACCCTGCTTGAGCAGGGGCGTTGGACTAGATGATCTCCAGAGGTCCCTTCCAACCTCAACCGTTCTGTGATTCTGTGATCCATCTGCATGGATGAAATGCTTTTCGAAGTTCTCATCATCTCGTCCCTGCCACATCCTTTTCTTGCCTTTGAGGTATGCAAACTTGCCTTTGACAGCCATTAAAATGTTGCTGCAAAGATTTCCTACGCCTGCTGCTTTAACTGTTCCAGCCGCTCTCTGCATTTCTTCATGGCAATCCTCCCTTCAATTCAATTTCAGTACAGCTTACCCTAACAAATCACCTCTCATTTCATTGCAACCACACCCCCTGCCAAACACACTTGTTAGGCTAAGAACATTTGTGCTTTGCTTCTCCCATGATACCTCTGGTACCTTGCAGAAATTGTTATAAATATCTGCAAAATTCTGTTAGTTCTTGGTTGCCCTTTACTACATTTCTGCAAAAACTGGGAGGGGAGCAGGAAGAAAGGAGGTGGCTGACCCTGTTGTGAAAACAGCCTTTGAGATCAGCTATATCATATCTCTGTGATCACCTATCAAAAGGTAACAGATGAAACCTCTCTGGGACAATGCAAGGCATATTAGGACCTCATCTATGACTGGTATTCACAGACGCTATCGTAACACAAATAAAGATAACTCATAGCAGTGCGTTCCAGTTCGGCTGCAAAGAGCTGTAGCAGAAGCCAGAAGCACAAGATGAAATTATCTGGCATCTCCTATTCAAGAGGCTGATTTAGAAGTCAGTTCTTTCCAGCTTCTGAATACAGAGCATTTTGGACACTCTGCAACAGAGAGAATAAGTTCATTGTGTCTCCGCACAACAAGGAGTAAAACAACTGGATTGGCACTGCTTCTGTCTCCCCGCTCAGCTCCCTGCGGGAGAAAGCTCAGCTCTGTACAAAAAGGTTTGCTGACCTCGACGGGAGTTCCACGAGGAGGTTGTAGCTTACATCTAAAACCTCCAGTTTCTTTGCTTCACAGGCCCAGTCCGGGACACACCGCAGTTGATTGCTGAGAAGAGAAATGAGAAAAACCTAGATACCACCACTCTGTATGGAACACGCCCTCTTTGAACACTGCATAGCACTAGTGACAGCTGCCCCAAAATCAACAGGTGGAAAATGAACCACAGACACATGGAAGTTATCTCATGGCTAGCTGTGTAATGCAAACTAAGCTGGTACCTGATTAGTAGAAAGTACTGGTGGAAAACTGTACTGATCAGGCTTTTGTCTACAGCACTGGCATCAACAGGACAGGCTACACAATGCTACCCTGCTATTGTGCATCATCCCAGAACTGAAGCGAAAGGCACTCAGGTGCTCTGGCTCTCCCATTTCCATGTCTGATAATGCTGCTCCAAGAGGAGACTTGAACAATAAAGCTAATAGTAGCAATCACTAGCAGCTACTCTAAATGCTTGCTCCAGAGGTTCCCATCATTCAGCCCAGTCAGCTACCACCAGTTCAGAGGTCCCTGCTTGCCTTTTTTTTGCTGCTTACAACCTATATCTGAAGGACAACCAGCCACCTAGTCAGGTCAAACTTGTTCAAAGGGGCTTCTGGTCTGGGACATTTCATTATTCTTCAGTGCTGGGATTTCCAGTTCTATTGTGAAGATGGAGTGTCTTCCCTCTATTGCTCTCAGCTCTTTCAAAAGCTTAAAAGCTCGAAACAATTCTGCAATAAACAGCAAAGGTGTCCAGATATTTGCTTTGTGTTCTGCGGGGTAAAGTCACTTACCGGGACAGTTCCAGACATGTCAGTTGACCAGGAACTGGATAAACACTGACAGCTGTCAGACCTGATGAAATAAAGCAAACAACTGTGACTGCAGAGCTCTAAAGGGAAAATAGCACAGAGAAGCACGCACAGCATGCAGCAAAGAACTAGACTAGCTAGCAAGTGAGACTTGTAGTCTTTCCCCCTGGACGCTCAACATCCCTACCCACCCTTCCCAGGACAGAGTCCGCATTTCATACATATGCCACATGGCGCTACAACTCTCTCTCTCTCTCTCTCTCTCTACATCTGCCACATGGGGCACCAGAACAAGGAAGAACTGCACCTCTATGTGTGGACTCACTCCCAAAGAGATCTCTCTGGAAAACAAGTTCCTTGGACAGCAGTTCAGCACCACAATCTCTCCCTGTTAAATGGGCTGTGCATCTATATCCATAATGGGTTCATTCCCTAGGAGCTGACCCCAGAAGACCCATCATGTAGTCTCACTAATGTAACACTGGCATAACTATTTTTCTGTGTGGGATAATGCAAAATGCCGTTTCCTCTGTTCAAAGGGCTTCAGAAGGAGCAGGCAGGTGAAGGAGGCAAACAGACGTACAGTTGCTGTTGGCATAGAGGGCCCGAAGGGAGAAGCCACTCAGTGTCAACTCTTTCAGCTTATTCCGTTCACAGTGCAGCTGTTCCAGGCTGCTCAAGGAGCTCAGATCCAGATCCGTCAGCTGATTGTCTCGTAAATCCATGTAGATCACGGATGTATTCCCCTCCAGGCTGTCAACTGCTGCTCTCTTCAGGTTGTTCAGCCTAAACACTCAGAGATGAGTTACAAAGTCAGAAAATAGGACACTGAACGCAAGGCATCAATAAGAAGGAAGAAGAAAGAAGAGGAAAGGAAGAGCTCTCCTGAAGACTAACCCCAAAGATGAGCACATTGAGATATACGAAGAGTAACGAGGGGCTTTCAGGAAGTGAATACAGGAAAAAAAAAAAAAACAAACAAAGCCTGCATCTGCACTACTATGTGAAACACTTACTTATACTCATTCCCCAGCATTTAAGAGGTCCTGAAGACCACAGCCTAGAAACTATAAGCCAGGTCAATGGACAGCTACGTAGCACTGACAGAGGAAGGTAATGCAGAGACTAAGTACTAGACTGCCTTGCCACAATCATAAAGTTCTTTGTCCCTTTCTGAGAGCTCTGCAGACAGCAGCCTGAAGAATCAGGAACTACCCCACCTCTAGAAAAAAAAAAAGGGGGAAGATAAAGTTAGGAGAGACTTGACTTGACTACGTAGCTCATGGTAGTTGCATATCAAAAGAGGAAACTAGAGGACTTGAGCCCCGTTGCTCAGTTAACCTTCTTTCTCTAAGTAAACAAAGCTCCCTGAAAGCTAAAGAATCAATAAGAGAAGAATGACACCTGGCTTACTGCAAAATGTACTAAAATTTACACAGCTCCTCTGATGTAAGGGGAAAGGGCCAACCTGGTCTATACATATGCAAGTTTCTCCCCTTACCTCAGATCTACGCTTTTGATGTGGCTCATACGGTTCAGTGCTGCAAGATCCAGGGTCTCCAGCAAGTTCCCTGCCAGGGCTAGTTTGTCCAAGACGATGAGTTTCGCACAAACTGCTGGCAGCTTGCAGAAGTTATTGAAGGAAAGCCCAAGACAACTAAGCTGCTGCAGACTTCCCAGCTCTTCTGGTAAAGATGTCAGGAAATTCCCATCAAGCAAGAAGGTCTGGAGACTGCAGCAGGGTGGGGTGGGGGGGAATTAGTGAAGAGGAATGAACATCACATTTAACATTTTCAGTAAAACTACTTGTACAGCTAGCTATGTGGTTATTTTTTATGGTACCTAATTGGTATTTTATTCTTATATGCATAAAGTTACTGGAGTACCTATAATTCTCACTCACCTGATAGCTAATATGCTTGGAACTGCATGTATGCAATACCAAAGAGTTCTAAATTTATTTTGGAGATAAACTTAGGTTTGTGCCAAATAGCGTAAGTTAACATAAGCAAAATACAATTCACTACCTATGGCATAAATATATCTACTTAATCACTCGCATTTTTACAAACTAAGAAGAATTCATTTAGCATACTGGACAATCTTTAAAAGACCTATGACAAACTTCAAACACAGAAACAACAGCAGTAACAATAGATATCTATCTCATAGTTCTAATGATATCACATCAACTAATAATAACAGAAACATAATAAAAATTAACTGCACCATCATCCAATCTCTGGAGTCTCATATCACTATTACGGCACTTTTTCTTAGTTAAATCACAATTATTACAATAATTAAACACTGTTAACAGCTTTTCCCATTCTAGTCTTCCTTTCAGCCACTTAGAAAACAATAATATTTTCCAGGGTAGCTTTCTGCTGCAAGATGAATTGTTTTAAAGTTTGCATGGCTTTTGAGAATCAGGGGAAACAAAATCAAACAAAAAAAAAAAAGCCAGTTCCCTTATTATCACCAGCTGTGTTCCAACAAAGAACTTTCGGAGCAGCCTCTGGCATGGGAGAAGTGAAATCTGGGGCTATGAGTACTGGTGAGAGGAAGGAGGCTATTACAAGGAGCAGCACACGCACACTAACATTTTGTAGGCACTGCTGCAAATTGCTCGTGAGATAGGGACAGGTAGGTGGTAGCGTGAGCAGAAGCAAACTAGTAATTGCCTTCCTGCATGGTCCTTATTTGGAAGGACATTACTCTGAGATTCACCTCTAACAGGCAGAGAAATTGTCTACTTTAAAAGTAATTGTGGAGAAGTAGGGGCTGGGGGAGGCGAGGTGCTCTGCTGCTTGTCAGATGCCTCCAGAGCTGACAGGAATAGCAGGGAATCACAAGTTTGATGAACAACGCTAAGAGCTGCAGCTGTGTGCAAACTCCAGGGAAAAAAAACCACGTAGCATTGCCTGAGCAACCCAGAGCAGCACAAACTAAAACAAACCCAACACTAACTCAAAGGGTGACAAACACCTCAAGCATACGCTAATCTCTCTCTTTTGACAAAGTCTGAATTGATGTGGTGGCTGATTCACCCTTTATGCTAGTTCTAAAGGCATTACATTAAAATTAACTGTAAAAAACAGGAGCGTTCTGTGCATTTTTTTGTAACTGTTATTACAACAGAATGCTATTTTCTAAAAAATTATTTGTTTATTAACCCATAAGGCACCACCATAATAGCAGGGAAAAAAAAAAGAATCTGATTAGAAGAGGATGAAGGAGGGAAATACTAAGAGGGCAGAGAAGAAGAGAACGCAAAATGGCAGCAGATGCAAAGAGAACAAGAGATGTCCAAATCCTCTTTGTTGTTGAGATACTCCTCCTTTTTATAAACCTACTTCCAAGGAATGATAAATATAATGTTAAGCAGCAGAAGATGTAGACCAAGAAAACATGCAAGTCACTAAGTCAGATTGAAAAAAAAAAAAACCCATAAAACAGAAAAAGCTTCAAATTTACAAAACCTTAAGTAAGAGTATATTCACATGCTTTGAAGCCTTCTAGTTACTGTGGTTTAGCAAGGTGGCACCTGTGAGTCAAGTAATATTAACTGACTGTTAAGTGACCTCCTAGGCCTGTTAAGTGGCCTCCTAGGGCAAAATTCATTAACCTCCACTATTAGAAAAGTGATTTACACCGGCATATTTTACATAGTTAGAATAGGCAGGAAGTCACAAATGATGAAGAATAACTTGCTAAATGCCAGTGACTTTTTAAACTGCAACTGTATAAATATATTACGCTCTCTTTCAAGGAAAAATAAAGCTTATTGTACATCTTGGTTCTCAACCTTCTACTGGAGTCAAGTCCATGAGTCAGTCTTCACAGAGAAAGCAGGCTGCCTGAGTACTCATACTTTCATAAGTAACATCTTCACTTTGGCTGCGCTCTACCGAAGCACTAAGCAAGTTTATGACCACAGATAAAAGGAATATACTTACTTCAAGAGTTTGCCAGTCTGGCTTGGTAAGTGGTGAAGTCCATTACAGGAAATATTGAGCTCTGTCAGAGTAGAGATCTCACACAGTGATACAGGAAACTCTCCCAGTTTATTATGAGACAGGTTCAGGCTCTTCAACTGAGAAAACCTAATGGCAAGAATACTAGTTAAATCACAAACCTCCATGGTCTCAGAGGCAAAAACATACAAAAAAAAAAACAGTCTTAAAGGCTTTTTTAAGCCTTTGTATATGGACTGATACAGTCAGCTAGCTCTAAACGGTAGTTTCTGCACAAATCCAATTTTAATTCACTGATATTTCATGTCTCATTCGTAATGCTGACAGTGGTCAAATACCACGTTTCTCTTCAGAGACAGACAACAGCCTACCCTGATTCTACCCTGATTCCTGAGAGACCTCCTCCTAGTGACTGTTGCTATGATGATGTTTAGGGAGACTCAAAATCCTCAGTTCACTAAATTTAACTTAAAAGGATTATTTGGAATAACAGTCTACAATAGTGAAACTGCAAAAATAGGAGCTGAAAATGTGAATCAAAACCTGCATTATTTTGAGAATAAAATAAAAGACGGGAATACCATTTCAAGCCAGGCACAGTGGAAGCACCCTCAAGGGCCTAGCAGACTTGTAAAAGGGAAAGTCAAGAAAGAGCTAACTCCTTGCTGAACACCCCAAAGACCTGTAACCTGGAGGCCCCTGAAGGGGATTCCACACTTCAAGTGCCACTTGCTTGGCAGGCTGTACCATAGGTACAGTCACCCAAGTACTGAAGTAGCCCTTACAGACACTACAATCCCACATCTGTGCTTAACAGAAGGCTGCCTATTCCAGTTCCTCTATCAGTGCCTCAGGTCCAAAGGGAGAGAACAAGCAGAGCCTGGGCTGGGGTAATATGCAAAAGGATCTTCTCAAGGTGCTCCTACCTCTTGTTACAGGAAACACAGGTATTTTTCCCAAGTAGTCATGTGACCAAATAATGCTCCCCATCCCAAAGTGGAACCATCAGAAATGAATTCAGCAGGGAAATTAATACCATGCTTTTATAAAACAATTGTGAATCTACTCTGCATGTACCGAACAAGTACTTCTTGGGAACATATAGTTTCATCAGTATGCTCCATCTAGCATATTTTTGCTAGGCAATGGTGATTAGTTCTTATCTTGAAGCACATGTTTTAATATAGGTAGATAAAACAACAAGGTATATTAACTTGAGGGAGAATATTACTGCTTCCATTCCTGGAACGATCTGTGTGGGAACTATGCATCCTATTTCTCCATTTTACTTTGAATTCCCTTTTGTTTTTTCTTTTTCTTGGAATAGGGAGCGTATCTGAAACTCAGACATGGGTTATTTGTTTTGTGAAAGTGCCCTGTCCTATAAATAAGGGCACAGGCACTTTATGCGTGTTGCAACCGCAAATAGACTCTTCCATGACGCGACTGAAAGCCGAAGAGGAAGATGCTGCATTGGTAACAGCTGTCCTAAAGAGAACAAGTAGTATGATGCAAAGATATGAAAATGTTACTGTACACAGAACTTCACAATAATTTTGGATTAAAAAAAAAGGAAACGATCAGGATAAACATACAGATTTCAGTGTTCTCATGAACTGGTTCAACTTTAGCAGATCTATGACAGATCAAAGTTCTCAGCTTTTGGAATCCGAAAATCTGGTCTAGAAGACTAGAATTTTGCTCTCAGTGAAACTGCAAAGAACTCCCACAGTTGAGTGATTTTTTTTCTATATACCCTCACGGATATCCAAGCATGTCATTATACTGTAAGGAAAAAAAACAAAAAAACCCTAGTAACAAGCATCTAGAGATATAAAAAGAAACCAGACTGCAGGTTTGCAAGGCTTCTCAAAATGTATTTCTCTTAAGGCACAATGTGTTCCAAAGACACAGCCATTTGACAATATTACTACAGGCTGCTTAACGGTTCTGAGAACTTCATAGAATGACTTCTCGCATTTTTTTGCATGGCTAGCATAGAGATATCAATGCTCTAATCTTCCTACGAATTGTTATGGTTTTAGGAATTTATTAAGAAAACATTTCTGCAATACTGTTTAATTTACCTGAGATGACTGCATCATACCTCCATCCCACCATACAACTGCCATCCTCTTAAAAGCAGACCATTAGAAGTTCCCAAAGTAAAGGTATGCATTATGCTTTCCCTCACCTTTTATTTTATATCCTAAAATGCTATCTTTTTAGCAAGTAGCAGTATATCACTGCTGCATCTTGCCTATATAAATGGCATATCATTCTGCAAGATTCAGCCCAAACTCAAACAGAATCTGTGGAAGGGAGTTCATGAATACTGTCAGTTGTTGGAATCTTAGGCCTGCCTGCAGCATTCAGTTCAGTTTCCTAGTCTCCTCATTTATTAGAGCTTCCAGAAGACCAAGCTTTTACAAAGACATGCACATCCCACCAGAATGGGCAATTCACTCCCTCTTCTCCATCCCTAGGTGGATGTGTCCAGAACCCCCAAAGTAGTAGAAAAATAATTCTCTGCAGACCTGCAAAGAGAGTCAAGACTCCCTGCTCCACTTGGTCTCATAAAATTGTGTCGTAGGTTGAGGTAGGTGATGTCCTGACTGTAGAAGAGGTGCTCAGGTACTTCCTCGAGGCTATAGCATGAAAGATCAACCATGCCAAGTCGCAGAGACACAACCTGAAAAGAAGGAGGAGTTGCAGCTGCGCCAACGTTTTTTTCTGGTTCAGTCTAGTGATAATCTAATGGAAGGCCAAAGCATGCAAGTGGTTTGTTTACCAGCAAGAAAATGAAAGAACCCCCTTGTACCAAACGAAGGTACATGCAGGAAACGGAGTTATGGAGTCCAAGTTTATGCCATTTGCTACTACTGTCTCTGCAAGCCACATGACACGGAGGCATATCTGGATATCAACAACGATGACACACGGAAAGCCTTGCTCTGCCCAGTATGTGCCATGGAGCCTGCCTAAAAGTTAGACCGTAAGACCACCAGCCCAAGGAAGAAAATTGTATTTCTCACTGAGGAAACTGCTGAGGAAGCATAACCTCTTTGAACCTTCCACATGCAAAGATGCAAGTAGCAACAGGAAGCAGCTGACATTCCAGTTCAGTCATTTAGGGATTACAGAACATGTGCTTGGCCTAGCTGTTCCTTCTGACCTTCTCCTGTTTGCTTGCTCAGAAAATATTATTAGGAATATCACTTCTGTTACGATGGACAGGTTTTACGAATTATGTTTTTGCAACATTTCATAAAATCTCTGCAAATATCAGATCTTCTTGTATTAAGTATGCTTTGTCTCCAGTTCTTAGGTGCTTCATTCCAGGTTTTATGACCTGCATTATCCTGTAAATCATTTCATATTTCAAAATATGTTATATATATATATATATATATATAAAACACACACACACACACAGATATGTACACACATATATATATATATGAGGTTAAAGCGTGGCTCAGCATTGAGCTATCTCAATCTAACTGTGCTTTTATGTGGAATAAGGATATAACTCCAAACAAACTACACTCCCCCTGCTGACCTATGATCTCTGTGTTAACTTCAAGCTATCAGTGTGGCCCCCACGCCCATCTGGGCCACAGTTCAGGCAGATGCAGGT